AAATTCTGTGTTTTTCTGTCAATATGGGGTGCTGTGTGTACATTAATGAGGAAAAAAATGAACTTAAATGATTTTAGCATATGGCTGCAATATAACAAAGAGTGAAAAATTTAAGGGGGTCTGAATACTTTCCATACCCACTGTATCACTTTAAAAACAATGTCTGGTTGACCAAAAGTACTTTACAAGGGCAAGGTAAGAACTAAAATAAATAATATCAATAGATGAATAAAACAACATAGGAACATAAACACATGAATTACACAGAATCAACAGTCAAAAGAAGGAAGCATCAGACAATACTATGTATTAAAAGCCAAAGTGGATAAATATGTTTTAACCAATGATTTAAAAGTTGTCAAGTCTGTAGATGATCTAACATTGAGAGGTAAACATTCCACAATTTAGGAGCTGCAGCAATAAAAGCACAGTCACCCCAGGGTTTGTATCTGGCCCTGGGAACCTCTAAAAGAAACTGGCTTGAGGATCTGAGTAATCTAGTCGGTTTGTGCCACCTCACCAACTCAGCGAGGTAGGGCGGTGCCAAATCATTAAGAGCCTTAAAAACAAAAAACAATAGCTTAAAATGAATTCTAAAATGGACTGGAATCCAGTGAAGAGAGGCCAGTAGAGGGGTTATATGGTCAAATTTCCTGGTACCTGTTAAAAGACGAGCCGCAGCATTTTGGACCATCTGAAGACGAGTTAGGGACGACTGATAAACACCAAGGTATAATGCATTACAATAGTCAAGTCTAGAAGTTATAAAAGCATGGATTTCAATCTCAAAATCATTAAAATAAAGAAATGACTTGACTTTACTTAACAACCTCAGGTGAAAGAAACTAGATTTTATGACTGCGTTGATCTGTTTGTCAAATCTTAAGTCATTGTCAAACATTACCCCCAGTTTTTTTACAGTCATCTTCAGGTGATTAGCCAGGGGGCCCAAGTTGTGGTTAAAAGCAGCAAATTTTACCAGATCACCAAATAAAACACACTCAGTGTTATCCTCATTTAATTTTAAAAAAGTTCAGAGCCAGACATGCTTTCAGGTCTGTCAAACAATGGCTGTAGAGACATTCCTCCAGCTGCTTTTAATGGTAAATACTGTATATCTGGATGTTATCTGCATAACAATGAAAGGAGAATCCATAGTTCCTTAGAACTGATCCCAGTAGAAGCATGTAAAGGGAAAAAAGATTTGGGCTGAGTACAGACCCTTGGGGGACATCACAGGAGAGGATAGTTGAAGAGGAGGAACAGTTACCAATATTAACAGAAAAACTTCTATTCGTGAGATAAGATCTACACCAGTTAAGAACAGTACCTTGAATTCCTACACACTGCTCCAAGTGAGATAAGAGAATTCCATGATCCACTGTATCAAAGGCATTTGAACACTAACATAATTCTAAAACTATTATCATTTCTATATTAACCTTGACAATATTTTATTTGCTCTGTTTTCCATGTTATTCAATGCCAAAAAACTATTGGAAAAACAACACAGTATTTGACATAGGATTTGTTCTTGCAAAATGAGCAATAACAACAAAATGTATCTGAATCTATAGTACTTCTGGAAAATGACACCTGTGTAGATGCAGGTCATGTGCATATCACCAAAGATCTTACATGCTGCTTATTGGACACATCCTGTGGAGACACAGTGTAACATGTTGCCCCAGCATCTCCCATAGATGTTCAATTGGTCTGTTATCTACTGACTGCCACCCATCTTTATCTTTATCTAGTATGGGCATACTTGTACCAAATATGTTTAAACATTTCCCATAAACTCTGGATGATTCCACGCTACTTATGTTTAGCTGGCTGGATAAAAATAGATGAGATTCCATTCTGTCAAAGGTGGAGATGCTGGGACAGCAGGGATGGCAAAGATGTGGCTGGAGTATCCTTTTATTTGAGAAGAGGCACTGTTCTTAAAGCATTTTCTAATGCCCATTTAGGCTAAATTGGGGCAAAAGAAAGAGGGAGAGGGGACATATTGGTAGGGTATGAAGGCCTCTGATTATCACCCACTTTTCTTTCTTGGAAGAGCATGTACAAGGAATGCAGACAGATTGCCGTAAAAGCAGGGAACAAAGTGACAAGTGAGGATTAAAAAAGAAAAGACCAAGATATTTTTATTGACCGCATGTGCAGAGGACACTGACTGGTGTGGTGAAGCATGGCAGGGTTGTAACTAAACTTAATTGTCCATCACTAAAACGTCCCTTTTCTCTCTGATAGCCGTAATCTATTTGTCTTCATTATCACTTAATATCTCTGCTTTCAATATTTATCTGGCAAGAGAGAATATTTAGACATTAGAGAGCCCATATTTTCTTCCCCTGCAAGACAAAATAATGTACATAGGGGAGCTCTCCTTAAGTCAGATCTTCGTCATTTCATTTGCTTCTCCAGTCCCAGGGGTAGTGTTTCCTAAACTGAACGAAAGGGAACACTTGTGAGATTTGTCAGGAGGTGTAAATAGCATTCGATGTTTTGTTTTTGAAGAGTAAATAAAGACTGAACACGGGACAGTGAGAGCTGACGCTCCCCTCATTTGCAGGACAATAGCTTGGTCCCAGATTTCCGCACACAGACAAATGACCCCTCATTGGATTCCTCTCGACCAATAGGATGGGGCTATCAAATTTGTGACGTGATTGAAATCATCGTGGACCAATGGCAGTCGAAAAGACTGCACCATAAGGGCAGGGGGGCTTCTGGCCAGCACCAATGTAAGCCTGTTTCTATCCAGCCAGAACCCCCCTAACTTTTGTCGAGGTTTGTTGGGTTGTATCTTTGTAACGCTTTTACAGAGCGTTTTTACCGATGCATTTATGGAATCTGTGCAGTGTGGGCTTTCTTTTGAGCCGTGTTTTGATGGATTATAGTCGGTAAAATATGACAAAATATGAATCATATGCCTGGCAGAACGCCCCCTAGTGGACCTGAGATGTTGCTTTATTATGCTTTATTGCTTTTGCTGTGTTTATTGTGTGGGAAAATGACATTGTAGCCGAGGTTTCGCTGAACATTTTGATGTATACATTGTTGGGGGTCGGCTATCACAACTCGCGTAGCATTCCTGTATTTTCCGTTAAGCCCGAGAGTGGAGCATTTAACAGCTAAAGGTACATAAACCAGGTATTTTCCTTCAGAGTTGGTAGAAACCTAAAACAGAGCTAGATGAAAATGAGTATTGGACTACAACTTTAAATGAATGCCAGTGTTGCTGTGTAACTGCTGGATGTGCCACTAAGCACCTGCTTGCTAACAAGTTACTCATGTCACCTTGAAAGGTGGAGCTATAACATATAAATGTTCAGTCCATAACTTCTTTTCTAAGGTCCGTTTTGGTTTGCATTACAAGACTCTACTGCTTACCTGAAAATCTTCAGAGAATCCATGTTGGTTATTTGAGTAGAGTTCAGAGACATGTTTGATGAATTGCTTGACGGGAATGGTTTCCATTTCATCTGCAGAGAAGCAAGGAGATTAAGATTAACTGAACTTCAGGGGAACAGTAACTTGCCCAGGAGTAAGGCACAACCCACAAACCCTCCACCAAGTAATGGTAAGTGACAACTTCTAAATCTATGCATCTAGATACCAGGGCATTATACACACAGAGCCACCTACCCATGACAAATAAAGGTGAAGTACACCAGTATGAGACTTCTGGGTGAGGTTCTGCCAGGCCATTGCTATTATTTTGTCAAATAAATGCATCCCTTGTAGGACAGTGTAGGGTTACATTAATATGAGAATTTGAAGGAATCTTGCCATGCCAGATTACAACTCACAGGCTCAGTTTTCATTACAGGTTTCCGGAAGCTGGGTGCTGACTGATCATCACATGCACAGTACAGCAGACTAATCAGAGATAATGCAACTCACCTCTTCATAGTCCTAAAGCTTATGGGCAACTGTTTAAATACAAGTCCTCCAAGCTAAATGACCAACTGTACAGGGGGCAGTCTCTGCCTTAGAATATGACCTATAAAACACTTCCAGTGGCACGCATACCAGACCTCTGTTGTCAAGCAAAAACACGCCCTGTCCCATCAAAAATACACAGTTACCTCACAGAACTATCATGGCTTCATTAGGTCTAAGAACAAAATTTACTTGGCTAAATTCAGAAAAAGATTATGGTCTGGGTTAAAATAACCTTCGTCATCATGGTTACAATTATGAACATGAACAGGTTAGGGAATGGTCATGGATTAAATAAAAAAAAAAAATCACAATTTCACAAAGGAATCAAACACTTCTTCTCTGGGAAAGCTCTGTGTTTTCTGACGCATCCACCCCCCCACCTGCAGCCTGCAGCTGTAATCCTGTATGCACTATGCATACATTTTTTTTAAATGATTTTGCCCAAGTTTTATGCCACTGCATCTGGTGGTCATTGTATGATAGAGAAATATAGTTTCACATTTATGGCCCAAGGAGCTGTCTAACATGATACCATAGCATATGGCCCAGAGTGTATCACATCCCTAATATGAGCCTGCACAGCTTGGAGTGAGTGAGCCTGACTTTACCCGCAGACAGTAATGCCTGTAACATCACTGGGACATGTGCAGGGTATTTTTGTTTATTTAATTTTTTTTTTAATATGGTGGCTAATGAACTATCCCTGGTAGGCTAGTGGTTAAGGCGCAGTGCTCTCGCTGCTGCGGCCCGGGTTCAAATCAGTGTTGCGTCAGGAAGAGCATCCGGCGTAAAACATGTGCCAAATGTCAACATGCGAGTCGTCAGTGTGACGATTCGCTGTGGCAACCCCTAAACGGGAAAAGCCGAAAGTGACTTTACTTTGGTGGCTCATGAACTGCAGTCATGTGCTATTTTATGGACTAATTACTGTACATGGATCTAAGTGTCAGGTCTGATTCCCAAGGACCAGCTGGAGTGCACCTTCTAAGAATGACATTGCTCATTGTGTGGAAAGTTGGTCTGGGAGGGTGTTGAGAGAGCGCCATCTGCACTGAATGAGCTGTGGAGGTGCTGCTCAAAGACAATGTACACTGCACTTACTACTCCAAGCTGTGCAATATGTCGTTAAAATAAGAAAATACATTATGTTGTAATAATGTAAAAAATGTTTCAACTTAAAAGTTTCATAAAAATGAACACAGTATCTTGTTTTAACGAGAAAGGTTTGTCGTTAAAACAAGATTTACTCTGCCTTAGGCAGTTCTGGTCTGTATTAGGAAATATAATCCTGCAGGCGCCACTGCAGCCCACCTCCCTGTGACACTGACTACATTGCTCTGGTCACTAGAGTTTGCCTACCGTATTTTCCGCACTATAAGGCGCACCTAAAAGCCTTAAATTTTCTCAAAAATCGGCCGTGCGCCTAATAATCCGGTGCGCCTTATGTGTGCACTGAGTTCCAAAATCTGTAAAAATGTTGTTCATGTTCATGAATTCAAAATCAACGAATCTATGGTTCGGAAGTGGAGGAAGCAAGAAAATGAACTGCGCCAAGTTAAAAAGACGAAACAGAGTTTCCGCAGGAACAAAGCTTGGTGGCCACCTTTAGAAGACGAACTTGAACGATGGATTATTGAACAAAGAACAGCCGGGAGAAGCGTCTCTACAGTCACCATTCGACTGAAGGCAAAAACGATGGCACAAGACATGAAGATCGAAGACTTTCAAGGAGGTCCGTCTTGGTGCTTTCGTTTTATGAAAAGGTGTCATCTCTCCATCCGCGCAAGGACTACC